CCTAGACAGCTCTCTGGTCTTCATGTTGGTTTATCCCCTTTAACAGGAAATGCAGTCTTTATAGGCAAGGCAGGGCAAGTTTATTTGTATAGCACATTTCAACAACAAGGTAATTCAAAGCTTGCTTGCTTTACATAAAACATAAAAGCAACAGGGAAATATAAAAGTTTAAAAGTTAAATAGAAAATAAAAACAGGCAGGTCTCCCACCTTTGTTTATTTTACTCCTTTGATTCCCCATCTCCCACTCTATCCCCCCTTTAGGGCCTGTGTCCACCAAAGCGTTTTTTACCAGCTGAAAACGCCACCTGCTCTTCTGAAAACGCCTAGCTGGGAGCGCTAGGGTGCGTTTCGGAGACGCAGTGTTTTTTTTCGAGACGCTGTGGTTGCTATGATAAATAATTTCCGTGGAGGCGATGTGCTGCAAGTAGGGTAGCCTACTTAATTTTACGGAATGTAAAAATGTCACCACAAAGTATGTAGGCCTACTTGCTCTGGCCCTTGCTCTGCATGAAGAGAAGGCTGAAACATGAGAGCACACGCGGGTTCATGAGATTTTGTGGGAAACACCTCGGCAAGTAGGCACATGGCTTCGTTCAAGATCGTGTCTGCTCGGTGTGGTGTTTGTCCCACCTCTCCTACACTGGATGGGTAAAAAGTGACAGTGATGAGCGCAGCGTTTTTCCCAAAGTTGAAAATCTTTCAACTCTCTGCGACCGGAAAAAAACGCTCAGCGCAGAAAAGACGCACAGCGCCTCGTCACGCTCCTGGCGTTTTTAACAGCTTGGAAAAACACGGCGCTCCCATTGCAATGAATTGAAAAAAGAGGCTGGCGTCAGAAAAAAATGCTTTGGTGGACACGGGCCCTTAGTTACTTAGGGACTCTAACCCTTCCTTATAGGTTTGAACCAAGGATGAAAACTTAGACTAGTCATGCAAAGCTATTTAATGTTTCAACAATCAACCTAAAAGGCAACACCTGGGCAACAAGAAACATCTGTCAGACATGTTCCAATAGTTTTGCTCACTTGAAAAATGGGTCGGTTCAGACAAAGCATGGTATGTCCTGAGTTGTTTAACACATCTACACCAGGAACTGAGAGCTGAAATTCTGAACTCTTGTCTCATACCCATATTTTGACCCACTGTCTTCAGTGAACAACAAAAACAAAGGAATTTGCCTTACCGTTCCAATACTTTTGGAAGGGACTGTATGTAGTCATATTTTTGCCATTATTTATTTTTATGGTGCCAGAATTTTTCCACGTCAAAAAGCAAAAGCATACAAGTCAAGTGAAATACTTAAGTAAGTCAAGTCTTCACTCAGGTCCAAATCAAGTTTTAAGTCCTCATCTTTGTGAATTGAGTCCAAATCTCTGTAACGTGTGCACCCAGAATCTTGAAACTGGTACTCTTCAGCTATATCTCAATTCAGTAAGTCTTCTGTCTCCTGATGTCCATCTGCTGTTGATAGAAAGTTAGATAGATGTAGATAGATGTTCCGTCGCTTCTCTGTTGACTCATCTGTCAGACTTTAACTCCCACTACTGTACTATCAGTGGTTTAGATGAGTCATTTACTCATTTACATGACTCACTTAGCTTTCTTTAAATGTCAAGTTTATATCTGAGTGCCAAGTAGAAATGAAACAGTGAAGAAACATGTTTCAAGTGAGACATAATCCCCTGGAGCTTTACAGCAGCCTGTGAAAATCTGAGTTGGCCTAAGAGTCCTTCATCTGAGTGTTGGGTTCCTCACCTGAGATCGCTTCACTCTGCCTGCTTTGTTATGCAGCACTATGGGCAGCTCTGCAGTACTGTTCTATCAACTGAAATGTGCATTCTGTGGCATGTAGCAGCCAGGGCTAGAATTGTTAGGATCACTGTTAGCTTAGCCTGTATCTGAGCTAAGACGTATTCACATTTAGTAACACGGGAGAAAAAAATGCTTTTTATCATCTCTGAGGGGTTAAACTTTCTCTTAGTTGTCACATTCCTTCTGATTATGTGGACCAGCACAAAAACAACAAACACACAAAAATATGGTTTTGCTATATAGAGTAATGACATTTTTCCAAGTTTATTTTTAAAAATCCATTAATATGTCATGTGATATTTCATGTTTACACTGGTCTGTCTTACACATATGGAAATGTAACTTCTCATAGACTGGCACCTACCCTACCAAACTCAAATTAGTCAGCCCAGTAATTGCAAATCAAAGTCAGTGTGGATGGAGAGAGGTCCTCATAGACAGACACTGAAGAATTAAAGAGAAGATTAAAAAATATTTACATTTCAATATAATTTTCCTTTATCTAGTTTTGTCTTTCTTTTAAAATAAAGGATTTTCACCTCTTCATGCCTATTAAAATTCCTTAAATTAATCAATCTGAGATGGTTTGGTTTGGTCAACAGCTCAATGTCAACACTAAGGTCAGAAGCTGACAGAACTTCACAAGAAAATATTGCTTCACTTTAAAGGGTCACAAACCAAAAGGCTGGGAACCAATGATGTGGGCTAACATCGTTTTACATTTTACATTCCACCTAATGACTGTTAATAATGAACCATATTCCAACGATGACTTTAGGGTAAAAAGGCATTTGATCAGTAACATAACTGTAGATATCATTAAATTAATTCTAAATTAATTCATTTAGAAGTTGAATTTAATTCAGCCTCCTCTGTCATTCCTTAATTTTATACCAGAGCTTCTTTCTTCCCCTCCTCCTCTCCATCGTTTCCTTCTCCTTCTGTCATCTCAGCTTGTGTTCATTAGTTATGTGGATGGAGGGAATTGGCACACAGCGAGGATAGGGATAAAAACTGCATTTGGTTTTCAAATCCTGCTCTGTGATTGACTGAGCTTGTCTCGTGATGAAGCAGCAATGTTATGGTCTCCTGTAACTAGTCTAATCAGAGCCAACTTTTTGGAAGTTTTGCAAAGAGAAATTTGACTGGAGCTGTTCTATCCCTTTCAATTGAAGGACTTCCATTAGTAATGAGTTCAGTAGGCACGGGTCGTGCGTGTATAATGAACTTTGTGAACAGTCCCTATTTGGAGGAAAACTAAATGTATCACTGCAGTACTAGTCCCTTCAGTACTTACTTAAAGAAGTAATTGTTTCCTTTTCATTCATGAATCTTGCTGCAAGCTGGTCTTTGATTGTTAAAAGTGAGGATTATGTTGTAGTGCCTTCATGTAATGTAGAAATATGATTTTCATTGCTTGAGAACTGTATGTCCATATTGATTGCAGTTCATTTCTGATGTGAAAGCAAAGCATAACAATCACATATTCTGTGACAGTAGATGAGCACCAATTGTGTGAATTCAGATGGTTTGAAGGGGCACCAAATTGCAATTTAATCAATTAAATGGTAACACTAAATAATGACTTTAATTACAGTAATAAAGAGAAAACGACAAATAATTGAGTCTCACTAAAATACACTATTCATTTGAAACTTTTAAATAATAATAATTCAAATAATAACTATAGCTTTAAAGTTCTTCTCTGCCATTGTGGTATATTAGATTGAGCACTCGGTGCTCAATCTAATCTGGGCGGAGACGCATGTGAGGAGCTGCAGCTGGTAAATAGGGTTGAGGCACTCACAGCAAAGTTGCCGCAGCCAGAAAAACCTCCAGCAACCATAGAGGAGCTGATAGAAAGATACGCAGATGTCTTCACAGGACTGGGTGAGTTTCCCGGAGTCCACCACATACACATTGAAAAGAAAAAGAATGGTGTGCTAAGGTTGTGTTTGGACCCTTACAACCTGAATCAGGCAGTCAAGCGCCATCACTACTCCATCCATCCAGCAGACTAGTTGGGAAATCAATGTTCTCCATCCTAGATGAAAAGGATGGATACTGGCAGATCGAGCTAAATGAACCATCGTCAAAGGTGTGCACCTTCAACACGCCGTGGGGCCTTTTCTGATCCTCAGACTCCAATTCGGGATCAAGTCTGCTAGCGAGGTGTTTCAACAAAAGAACAGGGAGACCTTCGGCGACATCGCAGGTGTGTACGTCATAGCAGATGACATGATAATCGCAGCGTCATCAGAGCAGGAACATTATGAAATCCCATTCCATGAATGCCCGGAGTGAGGAAATACTCATCCAACTGAAAGAGGCAACCGCAGCAGATAACGTGTTACAAGCTGTGAGTGAGAAACATACAAAAGGTTGGCCTACGACGAAGCGTAGTCTAGACAGAAAACTACACTGCTACTGGGCGATGCAGCAAAATATCAGCATACAAAACGACATTGTAATGGTCGGAGCCAAAATCGTTATACCCCAGAGCTTCAGGAGAGTGATTTTGGAGAAGCCGCATCTCGCTCACCAAGGAGTGCAGCGCACAAAGTCCAAAAAAGTCCTCCACTGGCATGGCATGGCACGAGCCATAGAGACAATGGTGGAGAAGTGCGTGCAGTGTCAGCAGCTACAGCCTAAACACCAGGCAGAGCCGCTTGTTCCACATCAGGTTCCAGACCTGCCATGGATGAAAGTCGGAGCTGACATCTTCAAGCTGAGTGGTCAGTTGTATCTTCTGTTAGTCGATTACCTGACCAAATATCCTGAGGTGCTCAACATACCCGATAAATTATCTGAAAGCAGGATGTGAATATCTGAGGATTATGGGAGCCTGAATTCTATGGCTTAGTTTCATGATAAAAGTTCAGTTTAGGTCACACAAATGAACACATTCATCTGGAATGAATGTGGATGGTGTTCCAGTGACCCTAACACTACGTTATAACTTTAAAAAAAAAAAACTATGTTCTTACATCATATGCCATTCTTGTATCTATGAACCAAAGTATTGATTCCTGTTTGAACATGTTTGCATGAACACTTTTATGCTTAATAATGAAAGTTATTGCTCGTTTGGTGATTTTTGTTCAGTGGTGAGGTGGTGGGTTGCAGCTGTCTTCCATTATCTTTTGTGACTAACACCAGTTATCTTATCCCTTTTATTTTCTTCAGATCCCCATCCATCTGCGTCTCCCTCCCAATTCATCAGTATTTCAGTCGCTTCCTTCGCCCATCTCTTCAGCATGTCGCTTAAGGTCCAGACCAGCAATGTGACCAACAAGACAGATCCAAAGTCCATCAACTCCCGGGTGTTTATCGGCAACCTGAACACAGCAGTGGTGAAGAAGTCAGACGTGGAGAGCATATTCTCCAAGTATGGCCGGGTGTTGGGCTGCTCCGTGCACAAGGGCTACGCCTTTGTCCAGTACGCCAGTGAGAGGCACGCCAGGGGCGCTGTGATCGGGGAGAACGGCAGGGTGCTGGCTGGACAGACACTGGGTGAGTCCACATGACGCAGCATCAATTATAGCTCTACCTACAACGCAGAAAAGAAAATTGCAGTGGTTGTGGTAGATCAAGTTTGAAGGATTTACCCACACACCAATTAAGATGATGATATCCAACCTTCAGATAAAAGTAACAAGATTGTATTTCCAACATGGAGTGTACATTGTGCTTGGCATCCAAGTGGTTTAAAGCAACATTATGCAAGATGTGGTTTTTCAGAGTGTAATTCACCACTGTTGTTACATTACGATCAAAAACTAGCCAACTTTGTTAACGCAGCCAAACGTCAAGCAAGTGTGACAATATCAAGACAGAAAGCCAGCTAATAAGTTATTACTTACCATTCCAAAAGCAAGAAGTTCAGCTTGGCATCTGCCAACTTTTCAGCTCTTTTAGCTCAAACCAACAAGTAAAAGTAGTCTGATATTTACTCTTGTCCTGTCTCTTGCTCCGCCATTCTCTTTTTCTCTTCTTCACTTCTTCTGATGTCTTCTTCGGTCTCTTCACAGCCTTGATAACCATACTGAGAATATTGAGCTAGCTTCTTCCAAAGAACCTAGTGCAAGTCAGAGTGTTCATTTAAGATAAAAATACTACATAATGTTGCTATAAGTCAGGAGATCAACATTTCCTTGTTTCACCTTTTAAAATCTTTTACGTCTTTACACAAGAACATCATTAAAAAGTTGCTTTTTCTTGGTTGCAATTTTTATTTAATGTCGGTGTATGCCACAACTCATGAACTCTGAGGTATCAGAAAATGTCCCAGTCTATACAGTGCAGGTTTTTAATAAATTTATTAATCAAATAATTTGTATTAATTAATCAATCAAAAAATGAGATAATAAAATTTAAAAAAATTAAAATTCACAGGTCCCAGGACCCAGGTGACGTCTTTGAATTGCATTTTTTGTTCATAGTCAAACCCAAAGATATTTGAGAATCATTTTAAACCGCTGATAAGACTCACAAAATGAATTATTAAGTATTAAAAATGTTGAATTATTTTTAACATTGAAATTGAAATTAATTAATTGACTTAATTTCAGTACTACCCCTGGTTAATGTTTTTTGAAGAAGACAGGTAGACTCACCTGTAGCTTGTCTAAGGTCTGGGGAATCCAACCCTGCAGGTTACAGAAGTTTAACCTTTTTCACAATTGGAGTTGTCAGTATTTTTCTGTCTCACAGTTTCATTACAACAAATGTTGATGCCAAATCAGTAGCACGCTGTATCTTGTCAAGTTCTACCCTGTGATATTAACTGATCCTGTAGTTTCTTCATGTATGTTTTGGTTCAGGCTTGATCTCTCCTTTCTCCAACAATATATGTGGAGAACCACTTGACTATGATCTGCCCCAAGAAAGTTTTTGGGGGAAAACAGAAAAGCTAAAGGTATGGAGGGGGACACAGAGACCTCTGATATCAAAGACGAACACATTACTCACACATTCCCCACCCTGACTACCTCGCCTTCACACTTAGAAACCCTGTAAGAATGTCACAGTACTTCCTACATTGGTACTGAGTGTAAGTTTTGGATCTGTCCAAGATGAGCATACTATGTACGACTTGTGGAGTCTCATTTCACTGTTATGTTGATGTCACACAACTCTACATGAAATCTGATACACACCCCTCTGCAGCTACACCGACATCATCATCGTTTTCAATACCCACTGCCTGTCTGGAGGAGATAAAGGTGTGGATAAAACACAACTACCTCCAGTTGAACAGCTCCAAAACTGAGGCAATTCTTGTTGGCACCTCACATCAAATCCAGTCATTCTCCATAACCGGTATTAGCATCTCTGATCATGACATTCCCCTCTCCTCAACAGTCACCAATCTTGGTCTAAGATTTGACCCACAACTCGCATATAAAGCCCTTTTCAAACACCTCTGCAAGATCTCCTTTTACCTTCTCAGAAATATTGCAAAACTCCTTTCCACACTGACCTTAGCTGATGCTGAAAAGCTGGTCCATGTCTTGGTCTCCTCCAGACTGGATTACTGTAACGCACTTCTCATCGGGATCCCCTAACAAGTCTGCAGAGACTGCAGTAGGTTCAGAACAAGCAGGAAGCTTCCGGTCTGAGGCGCAAGACCAACATGGAAGTCCCTTAAACGCGCATTCTGTTGAACGGCCAGCAGGGGACAACTCTTCTGGTTGCAAAAAGAAATCCAGTTCCATTTGAAATACTGGTAAACTGACCCTACTTCTCACCTGAGTTATTACCTCAGTAAACACTTTCCTAATGTGTTTATGGTCTCAATCACTAGTTTCAAGTCTTCTTTAATACAGCATGATGTTAATTTTGTAAATTATGGTCCCATTTAGAGGAAAATACACTATAAAGCAGAGTATGCTTCAGGGCGGGATTATCTATAGTTGACAAGGACAGACTACAACGGACGGTCAGGACTGCAGAAAAGATCATCGGTGCCAACCTGCCCTCCATTCAGAACTGGAGGGCAGCTTGGCAGGACGGTCAGATGGAGCTGCAGGAAACATCACTGCAGCTCCATCTCACCCCAGACACAAGCACTGTACGCCAAAACCAACAGTTTCTTCCCACAAGACATCACTCTGATGAACAGCTGATTTCTGACTCACGGTGTCAGGAACAATTCTTGCGCAATATTGTGGTGTACAATATATGTGCATTTGACGCATAACAGTTAAAAATAGCACTGTAGCAGCTGGACAGAGGGTCAGTGACCTCCTAAGGGGAGAGCAGTGATTGGTGGTTATGTAGGGTCTGAACCCTTCTATAGAATTTGACCTCTGACCCCTTGTTTTGTTACCTCAGAGTACTACTGTACCCTTCTATGGGTTGGAACTTTATTTTGCAGACTCAAACCCTTCTATGGTACCTAACAGATACCTACACATATCCTATATAAGCTATGTTTGATGTACAGAGAGACAGAGTGGCCATCGGGCTGGGTCACTCTTCAAGCTGCTGCAGAGCTTGTAATTGATGCTGAACTCCTTGATGTAATAAACTTTATGATCAAGAACAGTGTCAAGCGGATTTCTTCTGAACACATCATCGCAGCATTATTGTTCGGACAACACAATAACCCAGTAGCTCTGTCTTTAATGAGCCACCTGTTTACACAACTTATTACACTTACAACACTTGGTTTTACTCCCCATTCTCTATTTCAATGCTGTTCATAATGTTATATTGTCATATTGTAGATGCTGTTTACCAAATCCACCTACCTCAAGCCATTACTCCTGCACAAAATACTTATTACATATATTATTATATTATGTTATACATATATACTACTATATACATACTAATTATTCCTGCATCCTTTGCACTCTGCTCACTGCACTATTTGTCAATATGTCTATATTGTTTTTGTTCATAGTGTGTATATTTGTGTTGTCTACACTGAAGTCTGTCTGATTTTATCTTATTTTTATTATTGTGATTTTGTATTTTTGTATGAGTAAGCACATCGTGAGCAATGTACAATCCAGAGTCAAATTCCTCGTATGTGTACGCATACCTGGCAATAAAACTAATTCTGATTCTGATTCTCACTGTAGTAAGAGATGCACAGATTACAGTTTTCCTGGCTGATTCCAGCTACTGATTTTTTAAAAGGTCTGACCTGCCGATTCTAATTTTGGCCGATTCCGATTTTCTTTCTTTCTAAGAACTATAACTGACAGCATACACAATTTATTGGAAAAATCTATTTTTATTAGGATCCCCATCAGCACCAGTATAAACGTTAGCTATTCTCACTGGGGTCCATTCAATTGTATGGTCATAATGAAACATTTACTATAACATAACATTAGCATGTTCACTAGAAGGAGCTGAAAATAAATTGCACACCATTTTAATTCTGCTTAATTTATTTTTGTGTTTAATCACAAACTACAGTAATCTGCTCACCTTGCTTTTCCCCTCAGACACAGAAGCACACACATACACCTGTCTGTCTGTCTGTGTCTCTCTCTCTCTCTCTTTCTGCTCTGACTTTATTTGTTAGCAGTTTTATTTAAAAGAACTCGCGTTTGGTATGTTTTCACCCGTGATTCCATTTTCACAGCAGCAGCAGCAGATGAGCCGCGTGTGGAGGACGCTTGTTGTTAATTACCGATAGAGACCACTGTGGTATGAATGACATCATCACCAACAGCTGTGTTCACTGTTGCTTTACCTGGTCCCTGCTTTACCCACTGGATCTCTTTCTGTGTGTTTCTCTGAAGATGTAGGCCTAAATAGATAGCGTTGCTTATTCTTCACTCTCGTGAATAACTTCCACACACCTAAGACATCTTTTGGCGTGTGTGTGTGTGGCTATGACATGAGGTGTCTGTGCACACATGTGAAACATGGCGCTGTGCAGTGTGTTTGTAACGTTCAATGTGATTGGCAGAAAATTGGATATTTGACACTGCTTGGCCTCGGTCACCGGTCAGAGCCGAGTAGACGGAAAAAAATGGCCTATTTCAGTCAAAACATTTATTTTTACCAGAATGTATTATGTTTTAATCAACCTTGTGAGACGTTTCACTATGTTCACTTTTTAGCTTTATTTTATATTGATGTTTTTACCTTGCTTTTATGATTTTACCTGTAGCACTTGAGATGTGTTTCAAATGTAAAGTGCATTACAAATAAAATGTATTATTTATTATTATTAGTAGTAGTAGTAGTACGGCTGACACTGAATAGTCAAAGATTCAATGCTTCGATGGGTGGAGCCTGATTCGACTGTCAATCTCACAGTCAAAGCTTCGCAGTGAAACGAGGATCATGCCATTTTGGCGATATGGAGGTGCTCAACGTCTGATTTTACATAGAACTACCAGTTTTCTCCCAATAAGTTAATATACAGCCTATTACAATATACATTTCAACATTTAATGCTGTTTTTAAAGTGCGTAAATAAATCTAAAATTGTAACCTTAACCCTGGGTCGTCAGTATGCATGTGTAGGCGTAGAGTTTATATGT